ACTATAAAGGCGTGTATCAGATACGAAACAAATCATGTGCTTGATTGTAGATAGTCAAGACGGGATTTGTACCTCTCGTAAAAGAGAGAGATATCGCTGGGCCCCTCGTGTGAGCGAGACTGTAGAAATGTGTGGCCGCACTATAGACGAACGTCGTCTATTTCAGACAGTCGAACTCAGTGAACGAGAAAGCAGTCGAATCAGATAAGGTGGCTTGTCCATGCCTTATGTTCGACATATGATATCATGATACAAAAGGATCATCAACCGGAATCATCTCTGGCGTTCGTAAAGATCACGAACAAACTCTATTCGAGATAGGTAGTCATAGTGTCTTGCTAGAGACCGCCTATGACTTATATATCCGAAATAGAGATTTCGGGTTATACTGCTATATCGAATGAGCCTACAGGGTCACACACGCAGGGAAGGACAAAACGCACGAGAAAACGACAGAAAAACCATGACGGAAGAGTCTGGAACGGACGGACCAGAAGTCCAGAACGGACGGTCTGCCGTGCCAGACCCGAGGTCCAGAACGGATGGTCCACGTGAGTAGACCGTCCGTTCTACGTGCTGGAACGGACGGTCCACGGGCTTTTCTGGACCGTCTATTCCGGGCTTCAGGTTTTCCGAAATTAAACCGAATTAGGGTTAAATCACCTTATAAGAAGGAGATTAAAAAAACCCTAACTGAAGAGACGAAAGGAGCCGCATTTTGGCAGAAAAGAGAGAGTTTTTGGAGATCCAAAAACGAGTTCGAAGTCTCGAGATTTCTCGGTGCACATATCGAATAGAGATTCAAGTCCTAGCAGACAAGTTCCAATCGTTGGAATCCATCCCGAGGTGTGGATACGTGTAGAGGGCGAGGTAATCTTCCTGCCTAAATGATCGAACGAATTTTTCAGTTGATATAGGCCCCGGATCGATTGAGGTAAGCGTTCTAACGTTTCTACGATTCATTAGAAGCATGGTTCTAGGGTTTATTAAATTTTTGTTATATATCCGTTGCGCAAACCCTAGAATCGATCTCTTAGGAATAGGATTCACTCTAGAGATCCCAGGAAAAACCCAACACTTTCTTGGTTAATGCTCAGAGAGTTAAACTATACAACCCATGAAAT